ATAAAAGTATCCAAAAACTGTTTGAAGACCTTGTTCATCAGTCAATAAAAATTATTGAAGCATTTGTCAGTCCAAACAGCATCACTACGAATTCATAGTGCCCATATTTGGTCTTGAAAGTGGTCTTCACTATGTTTTCTTCTTTAATCCTTAACTGGTGATAATCTGATCTCAGATCAATCTTTGAAAATACGGAAGTCCCTTCCAACTGATCAAACAAGCCGTAATCCTCGACAGTGGATTGTTATTTTTAACCGTGAGTTTATTCAACTTCTTGTTGTCAATACACATCCTGAAACTCCCATACTTCTTCACAAATAACACAGACGCTCCCCAAGTTGAGGTGCTAATTTTGATAAACCTCTTATTTAAACAATTACTACAATTGACTTTTCAGCTCCTGCAACTCCTTAACTGCCATTCTATAAGGTGTCTTGGATACAGGTTCAAAACCTGACATGAAGTCAATACTGAAATCAATCTCACACACTGGTGTTAGCCCTGATAAATCATCTAGAAACACTTTTGGATATTCTGTTCCACTGAAATATCACCCAAAGATTGTACTTTTGTAGAAGTATCTGGTACCTAAGCAAGAAAATCATGATTTCCATGATTCAATAATTTAAAAGCTTTCATGCAGGTAATTATCATAGATGTGTGTCCTCTATCATAAAAAAAATTAACTTCTACCTTCTCATTTATATTTATTTCGACAGTTTTCTTATTGCAATCAATAGTGACAATATTTAGACATCCGATCCATGCTTAAAGTCGCATCAGATTCCAACAGGGCAACACGATAAGCTGGGTATTAAAATCCTTTTCACCAATCGAAAGCTTCACATCACATGATTGATCAACTTCTAGAAAAGCATCGTTTAGCATTCTAATTGACAGTATCACAGGCATTGAAATAACATTCAATCGCATCACTAGCCAGTTCATCAACTATAAATGAGTGTGATGCTGCCGAATCAAATATTACATTTATCGGTCTACTTTGAAGATATATGATACCTATCATTAAAATTATCGTATTAAATATTTAAAGTTACTTTATTAATATATTTAAATCCTTATTTTATGTATGACATGACATGAATCCTAAGATGCTTAAAGTGCACTAGATTGTAAATATTAAAAATAAAACATGTGATGATGTCAGGTGAGTTATTAACTTCATGTTGTGATAATGTATATACCATGAGGTGAATATTCTATTAAGTCTGACTTGCATTTGACAGAACTAATTTTGAAGATTCAGCTGCCCGTGGTCTACTATAGCTCCTTTGAGCTGGTACAGCATTGCTCCTGGAGCCCTCCAACCCAATTTAGGGCAATTCTTCGTCATGTCCCGACTGGTGACACCAAAACAAGTGTTTGATCCAGACAGTCGCTCTCCCTTGTGAGATCTTCCACAATTATCACACTTCTTCACTTCAAATTGGGTGCCAACACTCTTGGATCTATCATTCTTAGCACTTGTACTTCTTGACTGGAAGGTGCTTTTGAGAGCTCTGAGGAAATCTGGATCCATCTAAATTTGTTCTCTTATGAATGTCCCTCCTCATTTGAGTAGCCTCCCAATCCAGCTCAATCCTCCTAGCTCTCTCCACCAAAACAAAGTAATCATCAATTTCAAGAGGAATCAATTACTGTCTAATCACATCCTTGAGTCCGTATAAAAATCTGTCACTTCTCCTCTACATTGGGAATCAACTGAGGTGCATACCTAGAGAGCATTGTTAATTCAGCTTTATACTACATAATCAAGTGATCACTCTTTACCAACCTGATAAACTTGTCCTGCATTTACCTTCTGGCGGACACCAGTACGAACCAGTCTCTAAAGGTGCTCACGAACTCGCCCCACTGAATCATGTGACTGGCTATACCACCAAATTTCTCATGCAACTGTCCATGTCATCATCTATTTGCTTCTTCCTCAAATACAAATGTGACTAGTGTAACCATTCTCTCTAGAGGACAAGACAATCCATCTAGAATCTTCTCCACTCTTAACAGCCAGCTTTCAACATCTATTAGACCTCCTCCAGAAAAGAGACATGGTTTTATGTTCTAAAATAATTTCAGTTACTTATCCATTTGACCTCCTGCATTGGAACAGACCCGAGTCTGAGAGTTTTAATCAGTTGTGTTACTGCAGTCATCATTTCAGTAAATGCATCAGAATTCTTAGTAATCTGTGGGAGTGCATTAACTTCTACAATATCATCTCTAGCGTCATTCCCCTATTATTTTATTTTTCTAAATAATATAAAATAGATTATAATTAGATACAATTGAATTATTTATCAATATTACTTGTGAATTAAAAAGTGATCATTCTAATGTCTTTTTTAGATCATGATCAAACCTAATTGCTCTAATATCATTTTTGTTACAACCCGACTTAATAGAATTAACTAAGACGGGTATAACGGTCGGACAATTTTAATATCTAACTATCTAATTTTTTGAAAACTTCCAATACATATAATAGAGCCACTAATCCACAAAGTGCAATAATTAAACATCCAGAAACATCAACAATAACATCCATAAATAACACTCAAGCCAGTATTGAACAGTAAATCCATATATGAAAGAAACATTAAAGAGAAATTATCATCATGAAATACTTAGCAGTAGTGATCTTTCTCTGGTAAATGAAGTCTCTCATGTCAGACATATCAACTAAAAATTTTTCTTTTTCTGAAATAAAATATTTAACTTCAATTGTAAGTTTGACTTAGTGAGTAATTATAATTTGACATGCATTAAATTCTTATGTTATGCTATGCTAGAATGACCTAAAGAAAATACAGTTCATTTCATTAAAATTTTAAATTGTTCCCTTCTCATTTCACTTTAAGTATTTATCGTTTTTAACATTTTTAAAAGTTATAATAGGATTATCGTCATACCCGAATTTATCATCAAAATCTATCCGAAAGTATTCTAAAAAATGTGTTTGAAGACACCCTCAAAATTGTACCCGAGTTACCTTCAAATTGTACCCAAAGATACACTTTTATCATTTTTTTTAATGTGTACTGGTACATCGCATCCTCTGTGAGTACTCTCTAGGGTATTTCAGCATGAATTAAACATTTACTTATTATTTCATTTTCTTTAAATTATCTTTTTTTAAATACGTTAAACATTCATTTTCCCTTTTCACGTTCATTTACTTTAATTCTTGAGCTACAAAATGCATAAAATAATTGTACAAAATATTAAAAAAAATCTTTATTTAATAAATTGTAAATTTATTGCATGTAAGAAAATAATTACTCATCTTGAATTAAAGTGACATCTGAAAGAATTTAGCACCCTTCACGTCACTTACTTTAATTAGCACCAAATCAAGTAAATATGCCTATAATTATAATGAACTCATTCTAAGAAAAAGACTTACATATCTAATGACCTATAACTAGATTAACACATGTAAGTTAATTAGGAAAGTCCTTACCTTAATTGGTCTGGTTTGCTTCTTTCACAGAACTCCTCTTTCCTCTTAAAAATCTAATTGATTTACATCTAATCTTCTACCTTTATATCTAATTAAATTAAACATGTTATTAGCATTTAACAAATAAACCGATACTTATATCCAAATAATTAATATAACCCTAATTACCTTACCAATAATTGTTCAACTAGATAGTCCTTCCCAGGCAATCATCCACTAATAATGCTTGATTTAAATTCATAAATTTTAATTGTGAATATTATAATCTTTTACATAAATTTATATATGTAAAACTTAAAGGCTTATGATACTTACCTAAAGCTTCGATCCAATACACATGGCTCACTTCCTGTCTTATAAACCTAACATGCACAAAAGGTTTTTTAGATCCTTCCCTCTTCCTTTTCTCCCTCGGCCTTGACTCGTCCCCACGCACGCATTTTCTGTCCGGACACCTGATGTACCTCTACGTGCGGTGTAGGTTATTCCTGAGTTATTTTCAGGTTATTTATGAATTATTTTCAATAATATCGAAATAACCCAGAATTGGATTATTTCGGGATTATTCAAAATAACCCCTCAAGGAGTCCGTACAGAAAAAAATTTTTGGCACCCGCGGTCTTCTTCTTCCTCTTCTTCCTCGGCACAAGAACAACGCCGAAATCTCCTTCTTCATCCTCGACAGTCTAGCGGTTCCTTTAATCCTCTCGATCGCGGCTTCTTCTGCACGCGAACGTGACACAACAAGCGATCGACGTCGCCTTCTCTTTTCTCAGTAAGCAGGGCTAGGCGTTGAAAGTTTCCTTCTTCTTCAATTTCTCCTCCTTCCTTCCTCTACTTCGCATAATATCAATGCTCCTTCCTCCACTTCGATTGGTAAGGGTTTGACAGTTTCCCTTCTCTCGCTTGAGTGTTTTTGAAATGGAAGAGACTCCCAATAAACCCCTTCACGACCCTTAATCCAAACTATAACTACGGTTAACCCACATACTTATTCTTTTTCTTTTTTTTTTAAATTTTTAATTATTATTATTATTGTCAAACCTTTCCAGGGTTCCCCAGGCGCCCTGCGTCAAGGCTAGGTGTTGAAAGCTTCCTTCTTCTTCTTCAATTTCTTCTCCTTCCTTCCTCTACTTCGCATATTATCAGCGCTCCTTCCTCCACTTCGATTGGTAAGGGTTCGACAGTTTCCCTTCTCTCGCTCGGGTGTTTTTGAAATGGAAAAAACTCCCGATAAACCCCTTCACGACCCTTAATCCAAACTGTAACTATGGTTAATTATTAGTTGTTATTATTATAATCAAACCTGTCCAGGGTTTCCCAGGCGCCCTGCTTCAATATGTACTTATGCTTACGTTCATATGGCATTTATGTCTGAATACCATACTGTTTACATGTACACTTCATCCAAATGTGCATTACATACATTTAATTATAATTGTATTTTTTTTTTCAATACTTTATGCATGTCAACATTGCAGCATTGTTTTAATGATTCGTATTTTTTGAAATATTTTAGGTCATCATTATTACTATTTGGGTTGCTTTTGTTTTGGAATCATGAATTTAGTTCCACCGAAGGATTCCCCTGATAAATCTGATCTGAAGCCATCATTCCGCAAACCTTCAAATGATTCTGTTAACAGGAAGTATCGTCACTATTCACCTGTTGATGGATCCGATTCCTCTTCATCAGGAGGTTAGCATGTTATTTCCTGACATTAAGTACCTTTTTTGTTTTATTTTCACGCAGACGAGCTGCTTATAAGCTGATTGTCCATTTTTTCAACATGAAAAAACCACATCTCTGATTAGCACGTTCTGAGTGCTGACCATGAGAGTTTTGATACACTAAAATTTTGAAAAATACTTTTACTTCATTTATTGCTAGTTATTACTTAGAGACGTTGAGCAGATGGTAGCTACTTTTTGCTTGAAAATCTCTATTGTAGCTTCTGAAAAAGACGAGTTATTTTAGCATCCTCTAGTATTTCATTGTTGCGAGCAATCAGCTAGGGCATTATCTGCCGATAAAATTCGGAGGGCTTACTTGTTGAACAGAAGTACTTTCTTTCTTTGTTAGTAACATTAATTTAAAAACTTTTGAAGGGCTAATGGTAAGTAATAGGTAGCATGCTAGCACTAAGGATTCAGTTGGGCAAGAATCAAAGTTAAGAATTAAAAAGATGCAGCGAGATAAATAGAGTTTTGTCTTCACAACTTGTAAATATTCCACTCTTATGTGCATTATAGCAGTGTTAACTGTTTTCAAGGCAATGATTTTGTCTTAAACCTGAGGCACTTGTTTGAATGAGATAAAGCCTTAGAAAGAAATAACTATGCCAGTTTTAAACTTTGCAATTGTGACAAACATTTTAAGGAGCATACACTAAATGATCACATTAGAGTAAATTGTGAAAATGTTATGCATCTTCAAATTCTATTTTATTTCAAGTTCAAAATTCATGGTATTTAGATTATATCTATCAAAGGAACACAGTAAACTATTTAGGATTGCAATTGTTGGTGACCAATGCCACCATTCAAACTTTTTTTTTCTATTAGTGCATTTCCTATCTCTATCTATTCCTTTATTGCATCTCTTCTTTTCATCTTCAAGGTTTACTATTTTAGGGTTGAAGCTCTTGCGTTAATTTCTTGTTTGACTTGCTTCCAAGTGCACATCTTTATTATTAATGCTGTTGAGACTCATTTTTCATTACTACCTCATGCCAAATTATCATAATAAAAAATAAACTCTTCTTTTGCATTGAAGCATCAATACCTATCCCCTCAATCATGATTGGATTCTCACTTCACTACTAGATGCTTGAAGGAAAAATGCTTTCCTAGTCCCGCTTTGGTGATGGTACTTGGCTGTATGATGTGCCAGGAATAATGGCCTCACCCCGTCTTGCATTGCCTGAGCTAGGTGAGCATTTGGCTTACCTTTAACATTGTTGGATGCAACTTACCTTTGAGAGTTTGAATAAGCTTAAGGGTATTTATACTTCAGTTGGTACATCTCTTGGATGGTATGATCATTGAGAACTGTAGTCGTGGTACAATATTGGCTCAAAATGAGGGTATTTTGGAAATCTTTGTTAACCTCATCCTCTTTTGACCCATGAGACTACAAGCATAAGAGAAAGCATGGTTTTCATGCATGACAAGCTCGTAGGCATGGATACAAAGGAATCAACAAAAACAACAACAACACAATAAGTGTTTATCCCACTAAGTGGGGTTGGCTAAGGAAAAGTGGATGGTTGTGTTAAGTAGCCAACAGTAAGTGTAAAATTTTTGTCTAAAAATCTTTCCATGAATCCTTTAGATGATTGTGTAGATACAAAGGAATCCAGAAGAAACGTAAAATATTTTTTCATTATCTCCAAGGATACAACCAAAAGAAGATAAAAGAGGTGAAAATGAGCAATTAAAGATGTAAATACAATGTTTCTTTTTAAGGGTGACCAACCAATCTGTAAGAAGGGCTTCTTTTCATCCAAGAAGGGCTTCTTTTCATCCTTGTATAATAAAGGGCTTTAGCTTTATTATTATTTTTTAAAGGCGCCTTGATCAAAGGGTGGAAGTTTAAAGTCAAAGGATAATTATGACTTTTAGTATAAATATTATTAATTATTCCATACTAGTACATAACATAACTTGTAGTAAGATTTTGAATTAATTTCTATTCTAGCTAATCCGAGATGAGTCCTTATCCAAAATTCTTGCTCTTTCTCTACCCCTTTTCTCTCTCCCATTTTCAATATATGGCTAGGTCTTTTCCACTCTAAAAGTTTCATCCATTATCTCACCTAACCAAGTTAACTTTTGTGTTGAACCCTGGCATCCATACTCTATCCTTCACCCCACTGCTCTCTTTACTTGAGGATTGGTGAAGGAAATGATCATATTTGATGCTCAAGGGGATTAAGAAAGGAGCAAGCAATCATGACAAATAGGAAGGACACACAAGCAATCAAGAGGGCTGCATGAAGGCAATGAGTTGAAGTTAAAGATTATGGAAGAATCCAGAGGTAAGAGTAGGTTAAAGGCTCCAAACCAAGGAGGCTACATTTGAGGATTGGTAAGACTCGGTATAATTTGTTGCATCTTTTTGATGCACATTCTCTTGAACCAATTCCCACACTTAATCCATGGCCAAATTTGTACAATATGAAACCATACCTTTGTTATTCATTATTCTTTTAAATCTTACAAGTTTAGGGTTACTAAACAATTAAGATTGAGTGAAACTACCTATCTTTTAGGCAACTAAACTACTATCATTGTTAACAGATGACAATGATAAGAAAACAGTGGGGATCTTTTCTCATCATCTAGATGAACATTTCAATTAATTGCACAATTGTTGATCAAGACAATGGTAACAATTTGATCTCTACAATCCTAATTGAGAAATTTGGGTTATATAACACTCTACTCATATTTCGTTCTGCTACGTGTTAGATTAGAGACAACAAATGGTTTAGGTTTACAAAAAAAAAAAAAAAATGAAGCATGGATATGGATATGGACACGACATGATATGAGGACATGTCTTTTTTAAAAAAAAAGTATAACACAATATGTCATGGACATATTTTTTTATTTAATAAATGATTATTATTCTTAAAAAATATTTTTTTAATTATTTTTTCTTAAAGACATTACTAAATAAAGTATGCAAGAATAAAATTTAACTTGAATTATAAAACTTCATGCGTACAAAAATCAATTTTCAAAATTAGACAATATGTTTCAAAAGAATTTATGCAATTTATTTACTAAAATTTAGAATATCCTACGATTACACTTTATTCAATTAATTAGGTTTAAATTTAACTTTTAGAATTAGAATAAGTATAGATTTATGATTATTAACTCATTAAGGAGTAAAAAATAAATTATAATATATTACTTATAGAATTAGGGCTGCTTTAACTTCATTCGACTTCAACAAATTGAAGCTTAAACGCAAGTCAGCTTTGACGAGGGTTATTTGGATCGACTTCAACGAACATGTTGACTCTTGCTCAGGTTTCAATAAAGAAGTTTATAACTTTCACTTTAGCGTGTGCAGACTCGAATTCAATGAGCAAATGAGAAATCCAAAGCTCAATTTCGACGAATGCAGGTAGGATGGACCTCTGACACTCAACTTCGACAAATAAAGTGGGAACTACCAATGCTCGATTTTGACGAATATTGGATATGCTTTTGATGCTCGGTTTTGACGAATTTTATAGAGAGCTTCAATATGATGAGAGACAATGTGGCTTTAGCTATGAGGTATAATTTAGGGCTATACACATATTTATAGTTTTTTACTTCTCATGTCCCATTTTTCAATAAATTGTGTTGAGCTCATGTGATGTTTCCGGGTCCAAATCAAATTCAAACACATCTTGTAGTATCGGACAAATTTTGGGGCGTGTTAGAGCCGTGTCTGTATCTGATACGTGTTCAACACAAGTATGGAGCATTTTTAGAAGTTTCGGTGCTATATAGAAAACTATAAATGGAGGTGCTTGGAGCAAAAGGAAAAATCACAATCCAAGACACTAATCTTTATTTTGCATGCGGGACAGTTCTCAATGACACTAACCTTTTTATTGAATGATTTGGGAAGGTTTAAGATATTAAGTTGTTGAGTATTATATCACACGTTGGAAAATATGGTGCTATTACCTTAACTTGTATAACTTTGAGCCTAAGAAAAAAATATTAGGTTAAAATTTGAATTGAAGCTTAAACTTGAAGATCAAGTGCATCTTCATCCCTAATGTAGGAAATTTTAAGGTTTAGATTTTCTAATGCATATCTATAGTACATTACAATGAACTTGCAAAAATTTGTAGGAAGATATTTATTATTCCAAACTAATTATTAGCTATATTTGATGTAAAATGACAACATACAACAACAACAATAAAATCTTTAGCCCACTAAGTGCGATCGACTACATGAATCCTTTTTCTCCATTGCGTCCTATTTAGTATCATAATTTCATTTAATTCTAATAACTTAAGATCATTTTCTTACAAAATGTAAAATGACAGAATGGTATAAATAAAATGAGTTGAAAATTCTATGGCCTTCTTTGTCTCTCTTTTTTTCTTATCATGCAGTTATGGAAAAAATTCTATAATTTTGTACCATAAAGGAATGATTAAAATAAGGACTAAAAATTCATGCAATTGAAAAAAAATTTAGATTATAGAAAAAGCACTTGAGCAAACATAATCTTACATTCTAATTAATAAAAAAAGATAGAAGTAAAACAAATAAAAGAGAAAGCGTTGCAACGAGAGTGAATCCCCTAGAAAAGTAAGCATATGACTTATTGAAGGAGATAACCTCCATTAAAATGTATTAGACCTCTCACTTGTTGATTGAACTAAGTCATAGAAGAAGAATTTGCACATTCAATTAGAAACTTTATTTTGCCAAGAAACTCCTCATATCTCACGTACATATTTATAAATATAAAAGTAATTCAGAATTATTTCTAGCATGACGGTAAACTACAATGGATTCTTTAAAAGTAAAATTATTGCAACCGTATGTATTTATATTTGTGCTAGATCTTGAGACTGAACTAAATGGTAGGAAGTTAAGGAATGGAGGGACATTCGTGAAGGATCTGTAGGTCAATAATTATCTGAAAAATCGAGGATTAAGTTGTGGACAAAC